GAAATCAAAGCGGTATCTGGATGATACTCTCTTCAAAGCCTCAGTGGGACACTTCTTCTTTGCCTCTTTCAGTTTATGGCATTCCCAGGGACTTCATAACTCCAATCTCTGCCTGCAGCTTCACATGGTCATCCTCTTCCTGTATGTCTCTATATCATCTTCCTTCTGTGCATGTCTGTCTTTGTATTTCTGCTCTTCTAAGGTCTCCAGTTATATTGGATTAGGGCCCACCCTAAGGACCTCAGGTTAACTTGATTACATCTGCAAAGACTCTATTTCCAAAATTGGTGACATTTGGAGATATCAGGGTTTAGGACATCAACATATATTTTTGAGGGGATACAATTCAACCCATAACAATGATCTAGTAAAAAATCCTTTTTTTCCCTCTTTCTCACAATAATAACATCAACTTCTACCACTTGAGACCACACAATACATGCCAATCATGGCGCTAGACACTTAATGATTTCATTTTGTCTTCTCAATAAGGCTGAGAGGTAGGAAGTGTTAGCATTGTAACAGTTGTGAAGTTGAGACTCAAGGACGTTGAATATCTCACACCACCTCCTATACTAAGTGGTGGAACCAGGATTTAACTCAGATCTCACTGATTTGAATGTCTATATTCTTGATTACAATGCAAGAATTTCATTTTTTTTATAACCATGAGCCCATTAGCCATCTTGGGATTCCCTATGTCTTAACACTTTAGAAACTCTTTTCCTAATGTCTGCATTGAGCATTATCCTATCATATATTCAGCCACAAGCTGAGGCTGGACTCATAGGTCTTTATATGCTTTTGCCTGCTTAGGTTCTCTAAGACTCTGTTTCACCCCTTCTTTAGGTCAGCTCATCTGACAGTGTCGCTTCTCACATTTCCCTTTGTCCTGGTAATCCATATCATTCCTGAAGCCATTTCTAAATGCTAGGTCAGGTCCCAAAGAGAAACTCAATGATTCTTGTATAGGCTCCGTTATTCCAACCTTAGCCTGAAGTCAGTTTCTGTACTGAGAGAGCCTAACCCTCATACCACTGTGTTCAGTTCCTGCATCTTCAAAACCGACCTCAGACAAGAGGTCAGTCAATTTGCCCTGGATTTGGAACTTCACCATGCACTCTGTTGGCTTCCTCATTGTCTTTTCCTACCCTTGAGCCCCAGTCAGAGGCACATTCATGTACTAGCCCCACTTAACTCTGCATGGAGTTTTCCAAGACTCTTAGAAAAGACATCAAATTATTTGCAATTGTATTTCTGCAGTTTGAGGCTGTTTGAAAAATTCCAGATTGATTTTTAGCCAAGCAATGCAGCCTCAATCCTAATAAGGTTCAAGCACTGAAAAAGTACAGTGATGAACCATTGATTAAGTTGACACTGCAATCTATTTTCCCTGCCCCTGGTAGGCTGAACTGGCTGCTTACACTTGCATTTGTTAAACGTTCCAGGCTCTTGTCTTTGTGAATAATCTTATCTGAAACCAGAGACGGTCCTGGGCTTGGTTGCTCTGTCTGGGTATCTGTCAGTGCCTCTTTCCAGGAGCATGAAAATGAAAGCTGAGGAAATTAAGGGATGTGCACAGGGAATTCACCAATCTAAAAACCTAGTGTCTTGCTCTGCTACTGCGCACAGTTCCAGTTTTAGAGCTGAGAAGGAAGACTGTGGTTGGAAAACGAACATGTCCACAGGGAAACAACACAGGAAGACTGTGTGTTACTGAGTGAGTGTCAAGTTTAGGGCAGGGATGGCCTTTCCACATTAGGCGAGTGTCCCTAGACAGTGGCATTCTGTTGCAAACATAAATCTCTAAGATATACAACATCAGATTCTCTTCTTTCCATTCTGATTCATTCACTTTCCCAGCTTCTTTGGAATGATGTGCTTACATTGAATCAGTCTTGAAACTACCTGCTTGTGATCTTGGGGAAGATCTTATCTCAGCTTCAATACTTTCATCTCTAAAATGGGTATGTTACTGGCACTGCCCTTGTGGGCTACTGTCATGATCAAATAAGCTAATGGATATAGTGAGTCTAGCATGCAGTATGCATTCAGTAAGATAATGATAATGAAGCAAGATTTCTATTTCAAACAGATAAAAGCATGTTGAAAATCAACCTATTTCAATAAGGATTTCTTTTCGTTACACTGGTATTTAAACGGGTGGATAAAAAGAAGTGATATGTCTCATTCCCACAATGGAAGTGGGTGGGAGGCAGCAGCCTGACAATCAGAGAGACCCCTTGATGGAGTAGAGAGCCAGACTCACAAAGTCACAGCAATGAGTCTCTACACCAGTAATGGCAGGATGAAAAAAAAATGACTGAGGAAAAGGCCTATTGCTCACAAGCTACCCATCCCTGGCTGCTCTGCCTCTGCAAAGGCATCCTACTTACTTTCCTGCCTTCAAAGTGATTTCTAGTTGCGTAACAGTTGTTCTAGTATGGTAAATATTAAGTCTTTTAAATCTAATGTAGATGAATTTTAACCACAAACAGAGAGTAAATATGCACATACATCTATGCATGTATACTATCTTCCATGAATATTTATGAAGAGTATATAAATGATTCACACACAATCCCTCGCATCCTCGGAGAAGAATGGAGAGATGCACTGCTCTTTGACCTGACCCCATAACCCCATCAGAATGCAAATCATCTAACCCTGGGCATGTAATTGCTCAAATAACATAGGTCCTAGGAGCTGATTCTCACGTGGAGCACACTCCTATTCCAGATACCTTCATTAGCCCACTCCTTCACCAATAGTCCCCCAGACATTCCCCACCAGCTCTGTGCCTGCCTCCAGATTATTCTGAAAAATTGCAGCAGTCATGCTCGTGCATTTTGAAACATAGATGTATGCTCAGGGAGGCTGGAATCAGACTTGATAAAGTTGCTGCCTTAAGAGGCGGGGGCAGAAGGAGGTCTTTCAAGCAGCACTGTCCAAGAGCACATTCTGAGAGGAAGGAAGTCTGTGCTATCCGATATAGTAGCCGCTGACCACATGTGGCTATTAGGCACTTGAAATGTGGCAAGTGAGGAAGAGGTATTGAATGTTTAATTTAATGTTAACTAGTTGAAAGGTAAATAGCCATTTGTAACTAGAGGCTACTATACTGGAAAGCACAGCTTTAGCAAATAGGCAGTTCCATCTCCTGCTTTTAAGGAGACGAATGGGAAGTAGATGGAGAAGATAGGATGGATTGAGGTGGGAGGAGAAGGCAGGAGGCGGACAACAGATTCAATCCTATTTTCTCTTCTTACTAAAACACTCAACCTCTGAATACTCTAGATTTGGTAGCATGAGGAAAGATTGAAGATTTAAGGATTACTTATCAATTCCTCAGTCATTTACTAAGAGCTTTTATGTGTAATTTTATATCCTCATTATGCAAGTAAGTAGGGGTGAGGAAACAAACAAAGTTAAAAAAACTCCAGAGCCTTTGCCCATAAAGTGTGTATATTCAGAACATCATATGGACACATATCAGAATAACCTAATATAGTGTATGGTAGAAGAAAGGCCATGAAAAATAACGAAAGTATTATTACATCTTTGAGACATAGTTAATTTTAATTAGTGTTAACAATTCAAATTCATAATGATCTTCAAGAAATAGAAAATATTACTCTATAGGGTTAGCATACTTTTTAATTAATTAATTTATATTTATTTATTTTTTTTTTTTGAGGAAGATTAGCCCTGAGCTAACATCTGCTGCCAATCCTCCTCTTTTTTTCTAAGGAAGACTGGCCCTGAGCTAACATCCATACCCATCTTCCTCTACTTTATATGTGGGACGCCTACCACAGCATGGCTTGCCAGGTGGTGCCATGTCTGCACCTGGGTTCCGAACCAGTGAACCCCAGGCCGTGGAAGCAGAATGTGCGCATTTAACCACTGGGTCACTGGGCCGGCTCCCTAATATACTTTTTAAAATGATAATCAAACATTGACCACTGTTTCTACTTTCCAGCTCTTCGGTCACTCCTTTGACAGCTGTCTGTTTTGCCCTGACTCTCTGGCTAAGGTCAGCTTGAATGGAAAGCCCTTGTGTTGTGATGTTGACCTGGTCTTAGAAGCCTAGGATGTTTGGGAGGGAAATAAGTAACCCAGGAGTAGTTTCTCTGCGCAGCGTCTAGACTGTCACCACATTGCTCTTATTTATAGACCAAACAAATATCCAGGAATGAATACACATGTGTATTCAGCCTGTCCTCTTCAAGATAAATCAGAACTCTAAATATTTACAAATATATTGCCCTTCAGTGACTGCTTCCTGGTGACAACAGTCCTATCACTACCACAAGCCACTTGAATATATCATTCTGCTTTTCTGGCTGATGGTTTTTTCCAAGTCAAAGAACTTCCTTTCCTCCCCCACCTCCCTTCTTTCCTTCTACCTTTATTTTATCCCATAGTAGCTATTAACTGCTCAGTATTCACTATAAAGAGCTGGGGATGCAAAAATAAATAAAATTAAGCATGAATTTCTTCATTTGCAGAGTGGGCCGTGTAGCTTAGTGGTTAGGATTTTAGGCTTTGGGATAGGTGGATGCATTGTTAACTACCCGTGTGATCCTAAAAAATCTAGTCACCCCTTTATACTTTAGTTAGAACTACCATAAAATGAGGGTAAGAAAGTGTGTGCTTTGAAGGGTTATTGTGATAATTAAGTAGAAAATGCATGTGAAGCACTCAGCACTTTATCATGATAAGTGCCCAAGAAACGTTAGTCTATACTATTGTGGTTTTACTATGATTAAGTTTTTTGGGGGGTGTTATGTTCAACTAGATAACATTTGTTAAAATTGACTGTGCTCCACACTTCTGTTTCAAGTCAACATATTTTTCATATTTCTGTTACAGCACTTAAGAAGTTGTTTGCCTATTACTGTTTATATTTTTGATTCCCCAAATAGAAAATTTGCTACATGAGGGCAGACACCTTAAGTCATCCGTCTTTGTTTAACAACACGATGTCTGGGCCTTGGTCAGTGCTCAAGAAGTATTTATTGAATTTTTCTTTGCTAGTTTTCAAAAAGCTTACAGGGAATTAGGAGAGACAGGAGTTTACAGCAATTTTAGTGACACCAGGCATGCAGAACCCACCCTTCTCTGTCCTGGGAAGTGAGATGCCCAGAGGAGACATACATCTTCCATGGGAGATGTCCTCCTGTCCAATGCTGCTGGTGCCTGTGTGGGTAAGATGGAACAATTCAGAAGTTCAGTATATATGTTCAGTTTCTCCTTCCAAGCTCACCAATCAAGTCAGTCATCCCACTTGCCTGGGGCAGCGTGAAAGAAGTTGGGCAGAGAGGCCAGGATTGACATGTTAATGGAGTCCCTTTGACATGGAAAGAAACATCAGGATTGGGGAAGACCAATTACTTTCAAGAGGAATGATTAGAATATCCATTTTACAGATAATAAATCTTGAAGAGTTTAAGACCTTGCCCAAGTTGATAAGTGGCAGATCTAGAATCTTAGGACCGAGAGAACCCAGATCCTAACTACCGCAGGAGAGACTCTACTATATTCATTTTTCCATTAGTAACTTCTTCGTTCATAGGCTAAATATTTATTAAAGTGTCTACTGTGTGCCAGGCACTTTCATAACACAAAAGAAAACCTGAAGAACAAGGAATAGTCTCTGGGGCTCTATCAAGATGGAATAGTTCCTTTCCTCCCAGGTCCTTCCTCTTACAACTAAAACGCCCTGGTCATAGCACAACAACCAAGACCAGAATGACTGAAAGATGGAGATGAAGGTGGGCTGCCCAGGGACACCGAGACCTGAGGAACACCATAGTGATAAGTTCCTGGGTTTCCTTATTGACTCTGATTTATCCCCATCAGGGTACTGCAGAAGCATCCATACCAGAACCACCAACAGACACAGACAAAAACCTCCAAGAAAGGCCCGTTCCCCTTAACCAAAGGTCTAGGAAAAGAGTGATCTAATTACAGAAAACCTTTTTGGCCATATTGACCTTACTCCAATTAAACACCAAGAGAAAAACCATACCATGTCTTCCCCATAGTTTCAGCTGGCCAGCAAGGAGTTGCTCTTTCATTCCACTCCTTAGGCCCTGCCCTGTGGAAGTAGAATTGTGCACCAATCCACCACTGGCTGATGTCAGCTGGGCAGAGCAGGGACCTACTTTTCTGTTCCCTGCTTGGCAGAAGCAGGTGGCAGCACTCCAACTCCCCCACCAGATGGTATTGGAGGGCTAACTGGGCAGCTGGTCTTTCACCCCCCCACCCCCTGCCAGCAGAACAAGGAAGTACTCTGATTCTCCCACAAGGTTAGTGTTGCTGGGGTCCATCAGTGAGCTGAGCCTCCACCCCTGCTTGGCATCAATGAGACTGAAGGAGGTGCTGAAGTTGGGGGTAGTAAGCACTTCATTCTCCCCTGCCCTCTACCCCTTGTCAGTGGGACCCATTGTGGAGCTAAGCCCCCATCCCCACTCTGCAGCAACAAAGTGTTATGAGTCATCCTCTATTTGGTGACAGTAGAGTTTAGAGTCAGGACCTAATCTTTATCCCTACTGGAGACACTGAGGCAGTGTGACCACCGATGCCTCATTTTTAAGGAAAGGAGTTAGCAGAGCAAAGTGGGGAGATGAATGACTGCCCCACCCATCTCTAATGGGGCAGTGTGAGTCAGTGCCTCTCCTTTCCAGGATAGGGTTCATGGGCTGCATCTGGCCCTCATGCTACACCTTGGTAGAGGGACCAACTATTAAAAATAAAAAAAAATAAATAGGATCCAGAGTCTCCTAGTGTAATATCTAATATGTCCAGGATATAATAGAAAAATCACTTATAGCAAGAACCAGAAAAATCATGACATGAATGAGAAAAGATAATCAACAGAAACCAACAGTGAGATGACTCAGAAGTCAAAATTACCTGAATAGGTTTTAAAGCAGGCTTCACAAAAGTGCTTCAACAATGATCTTAAAATGGAGTTAAAAAATAGAAAATCTCAGCAAAGAAATAAAAGTTATAAATAAGAACTAAGTGGAAATTAAAGAACTAAAATATACAATAACTGAAATAAAAAACTCAAAAAACAAACTCACTGGATGGAGTAAAAAAGTAGAATACAGAGGACAGAGGATAGAATCAGTGAACTTGAAGACAGACCAATAGAATTTACCTAATCTGAATATAAGAGAGAAAATAGACTGAACAAAAGATGAACAGTCTCAGGGACCTTTAGGACAATAGCAAAACTGCTAACGTTCATATCATTGGAGTTCCAGAAGGAAAGGAAGGAGAGCTACTAAAGAAATATTTAAAGAAATGAATGGCTGAAAACGTCCCAAGTTTGGCAAAAGACAAAAACCTGCAGATTCAAGGTGAGCAAACCCCAAACAGGAAAAACCCAAAGAAATCCATGGAATGGCACCTCATAGTTAAACTTCTGAAACTAAAGAGAAGGAAAAAAAAATGGAAAATAGCCAGAGAGAAACGATGCATTACTTACAGGGGGACACTAGGTAGAATGACAGTAGATTTCTCCTCTGGAACCATGGAGGCCGGAAGGAAGTGATGCAACAGTCTCAAGCACTGAAAGAAAAGAACTGTCAAACGTGAGTTCTATAGTCAGTGGCAATATCCTTCAAGAACAAAGGGGAAAGAAAGACATTTTTAGATGAAGGAAAACAAAGAGATTTGTTGCTAGAAAACCTCTTTTGAAGAATGGTTAAAGGAAGTTCTCTAAACAGAAGGAAAATGATAGCAGAAGGCTTGGAACTTCAGAAAGAAAAAGAAAACACTGAATGGGTAAAAATAGAAAATATAATAGATTATGTGCTTCTCATGAGAGTTTCTTAAGTAATATTTGATAATTAAAGCAAAAATTATAAACATCTGCTGTGGTTCTCAATGTATGTAGAGGAAATACTTAAGACGATTATATGAAAAAGTGGGAAATGAAAAGAGACCTATAAGGAAATAGATTTCTATACTTCACTTGAAGTGGTAAAATGATACCAGTAGACCACAATAAATTATTTACGTATGTTGTAATACCAAGAACAACCACTAAGAAAACTAACAAAGTTATATACTCAAAAAACTAAAAATACATTAAGGTGGAATAAGAAAACAATGTCCAAATAACCCATAGAAAGTAAAAAAAGGAAACAGGAGTGAGGAACAGAGGAAACAAAGAGAAACAAACGTACTAAGACAAAAATGGCAGACAAACTCTACCATATTGATAATGACCATAAATGGTCTAAAATTAATTAAAAGACAAAAATTGCCAGAATGAATAAAAAATATAATCCAAGGATATGATGTCTACACGGAATTCACTTCAAATACTATAACAGAGATTGATTGAAAGTGAAAAAATGGAAAAAGTTATACCATGCAAACATTGATTAAAAAAAGAAAAGCAGGGGCTGGCCTGGTGGCACAGCGGTTAAGTTCGCATGTTCTGCTTCTTGGCTGCCGGGGGGTTCGCCAGTTCAGATCCCGGGTGCGGACATGGCGCCCCTTGGCACGCCATGCTGTGGTAGGCGTCCCACATATAAAGTAGAGGAAGATGGGCACGGATGTTAGCTCAGGGCCAGGCTTCCTCAGCAAAAAGAGGAGGACTGGCAGTAGTTAGCTCAGGGCTAATCTTCCTCAAAAAGATAAATAAATAAATAAATAAATAAATAAATAAATAAATAAATAAAAAGCAGGAGTGATACAAATCTTGGATAAAGTAGACTTTAGAGCAAAGAAACAGTCTTTGCCCTCAGAGAGTTTAACAATTTATACATTATTTGAATGCTATATTTTCAATTTTTAAAAGGAAGCTATAGTGATTGCCACCAAAGCCAGATCATGGGCTTGGAGCTACAATGAAGAGATAGTTTCAACGTTAATTTCTTTTCAAATATAATCAGTCCACAATGTTTATTTCTAATGTGTATTGAGCATTATACTGTGTGCTGTTGGATGATGCAGCCGATAGGGAAATTTCATGTAGAATGGAGAGTAATGGGATTTTGAGCAGTTTCCGAGGTATGGGGAAAGGATCCTTTGAGTGTCAAACAGTTTTGGTTGATTTATTAAAACGTGGATGAATCAGACAGATGTAGTCCTTGCCTTCATAGAAATTAGGGTGAGGTTGATTATGCAGTGATGAACTTGCAGGGCTGGGAAAATGGGATAATAGTGAAGTCAGATAAAGGGGAATTAGGAAAGGGGTTGGTAAAGGATTGCCCATTGCCTTGATCTTGTCTCTTGCCAAGTTCCTGGTGAAAACTGCCTATATTTAATGATGGAATCCTCTTCTAGTAACTGCTCAATCTGGGTAACAGTGATTCTTTATAAATATGTCTAAAAATTTATCCTATGATATTAAATAAAATAAAATGTTTTTTCCTGTATCATATTAAAGATTATATAAAAAATGTTCATGCATAAAGGACAAAGACTGAAAAGGCAATCAGAACAGTGAATATAGCTAAGCTCCTGGGGTGGTGGGATTGAGGGTGATTTGTGATTCCTTCTAAGCGGCCTTTATCTATATAACGTAATCTTTAGAACAAGTAGAAATTGGCAGGAAATGGGTATGCTGAACTCAGAGAAGGAACAGAAGGCTCATGAGTTCTGCTGTCCACGTGTGTGGATGAGAGCTGAAGACAGAAGGGAGAGCTGTGGGCCTTCCCTCACCGGGAGTGTGGACCCCTGGCTGATGCCTACGTGGCGATGTGGCTCTCATCGGTAGTGTCTGTCACTGGCTGAGACTACCACTTTAGGACCTACTTTCTGATGCTGCATGTGGATTGATCTGTCTTCTACTCCATTTATCAAAAGGACAGATCTAATATTAAAGACGTTCCACATTTGCACTTTTCCAAGCATTTTCATGTCACTTATAATCTTTATGAGAGTGCTGGGAGGTAGGCATGACAGGCGTTATGTCTACATTTATCAGACAAGGAAACTGAGGCATGCAAAGACTCCACCACTTAGTACCTGTGGAACCTTTGGTAGTAAACCTTCTATGCCTCCTCCATAAAGATTCCTCATCTATAAAGTAGTGATGATGATACTATGTAAATCACAAGGAAATTCACGTAATTAAGAAAATTACATATAAATTACTTTGAGCATAGCCTGGCACATAGTCAGGACTCAAGATGTGTTAGCTGTTACTATTATTTAACACTTTTTAATATTATTATTGTATTACTTAACTTCTAGTGTTTATTTAATCCACCGAGCAGTCAGGACCTCAATCCTGTTTTCCAGCTTTCCTAGGTCCTATACTTATTCAGTAGCATGGTGGAGAAGGAGAAAAATATGTGCTTTGTAGCTGAGAGGAAAATCCTTATTTCAAATCCTAAATTTTTCACTAAGCTGTGAGATACTAGAAAACTCTATGAATCTTAGTTTCCTCATATTTGAAATGAAGACAATGATGATATTATCAATGGTTTTGGTCTTAGGCTAGGTTCTCTAAAATACAGAGCCTGAGTAAAGGATTAATTGTAGGTGCTTTATTTGGGAGATGCCATCCCAGGGCATTGAGAGTGAGAACAGAAGTGTAGCAGGTCAGAAAGGGAAATTTTGTAACGGGATGCAGTACTATGCCAGCCACTGTGGAATGATCTACAGAGACACAGCCAGTCACTTGGCAGGTGCACCAGTTTGGCCTGTCAGGATATCACCAGACAAAGAATACTGTGCTTCAGATTTGCCATCAGTGGGAGGAAGGGAGAGGGACTTTATCTGCTGTCTTCCTCCTGTATCCTGTCTGCAATTGATCATAATTTGTCCCACAGGGGAATTAACTTTGGCAGCTGCTCAGAAAGTCAGATCCCATATCCTGTTGCATGGAAGTTTATTGGAGTCTAGAAGTAGAAGTGGTGGGAGGAGTTAGCAACTATAGGAATGAGGCTAATCAGTTTCTGGAGGCAGAACCTTCACGATCTGCACAGGTGTTTTTGGTATAGTAGTACCAAGCGAGAACAAAGCAGCCAGGGGTCCAGGAATCTGTTGGAGGTCTTTAAGATGTGCCTGATGTCTCCTCAGAGGGTGAAATAGGGTGTCGGTTTTGTCTTAGTTTGGGCAGCCGTGACAGAATGGCATTAGTCTGGATGGCTTATTAAACAACACAACTGATTTCTCAAACTGAAGTTCTGGAGGCTGAGAAGTCCAAGATCAATGCTCCAGTAGATTCAGTGTTCGGTAAGGGCCCGTTTCCTGGCTCCTACATGACTGTCTTCTTGCTATGTGCTCACATGGCAGAAGAGGCAAGGGAGCTCTTGGGCCTTTCTAAATGGGCACTAATCCCATTCGTGAGGCCTCTACCCTCATGACCTAATCACCTCCCAAAGGCCCCACCTCCTAATACTGTCACATTGAGGATTGGATTTCAAGAAATGAGTTTGGGGGAGACACAAACATACAGTGTACACAGTCCATAGCTGGGCTGTGCCAATATTAGTTATTAGTTTTTGTCCTCTCTGTATTGAATAGTGGTGGCAACGGGGAGATGGGGCTTCTGCATGTAACTCTATAAGACACTTCTAAAGCCACAACAGAAATCATGTGTCAGATATTCTGAGACACAACATCATCTACCAGTGTGTACCCTGAAGGCAAGCCCTTTGCAAGCGTTCATGTGCAATGCCTTATTTCCTTAGCAGGGGCATCTAGATTCTGGCACAAAAAGAACAGTAACTAGTAGCTATTAGTAAGAGTATAAAAAACTTCTATGATTTTAAAAAATGCTCATAAATCTAGAAACCTCTATCTCCTATAGCACAGACCAAAATGTAGCTTATCTTAGATGATCTACATACAATGTGACATTGGTACTCCTCCATAAGGAGGTGGAGTCTGTGTTCCCACTCCTTAAATCTGGTGGGAACTTTGTAACTGCCTCAGCTAATAGAATACAGTGGAGTTGATGCTGCTTGTTTTCCAAGACTTGGTCATAAAAGACAAAATAGCTTCCCCCCCCCGGCTCTCCCTCTAGGGAACTGCACCTTGAGAGCCTGAGCTAAAATTGAGAAGTCCAGCTCCCTAGAAGCTGCCTGCTGGAGAGATTATGCGGAGACACCACAAGGAGAGAGACAGAGACAGAGAGATGCCTGATGCTGCAGCCGTTGGAGTCTTCCAGCCCAGGCCCCACACACAAGACTGAAGATGCCTTTGAGATGACCCCAGCCCCAGCCACCTTCGGACCACAGCCTCCTGACAGAAGAGAAACATGTGGCTGAGCTGCACCGGATTCCCAGCCTATAGAAGCCATGAGGGAAAATAAATGATTATCGTTGTTTTACGCTGCTAACTTTTGGAGTAATTTGTTTCCAGCTATAAAATCCAGAACACCTGTGGAGCCCCATGTTCTTTCATTAGAAGGCTGTCATTACAGTTGTTTTAAACGTGTTCCTCCTCCTTTCATTTTGTTTAACATTTTTAACCCTAGTCATCTTGTTAATGAATAAAATATTTATCGAGAGCCTACTCATTGCTCAAACTCATCTAGCTGAAAGGGGTGCAAAGTAAGCAATAACAGTCCCTGACTTTATGAGGCTCAGAGCC